CATGCAGACATATTTTGGTCAAAAATTTTTTCAACAGGGTTTCAAAAGAGAAAAAGCTTAAGAGCTTTGAAGATGAAGCAAATTACTGGATCTGCTTATTGTGAACATACTGGTTAACAGAAAAAACTGTTAAGGAATAAATTAGCAAAGATGAAATTTACTTCAGGCATGCCACTTCATTCCTTTACTTTTTTATAAAATATTTTTGCCTCTTCACTGTTCAGTGAGTGTAGATGGGTTGTGAGTGTTCAATGTTGCATTTACTTTCATCTCACTTGTATTAGGCTTTATTTTGATGGAAGAATGACTAAAAAGGCACTGGGACTATTGGAAGTGATGGAGACTGCACAGAAGAACAAACCCCAGCACTTTTACCTATAAAAATAAAAATCATGCTTTGGCAATAAGGAGAAGTAAAGGGATTACACGCAACTCTTCTAAGATTTAGTATATCAGAAAAACAGAACAGAGCATTCAGTTCAGAAAAACATAACATTTTTATGTTGATCATCCCTGCTACTGTTTGTTCCTGACTTTTCTCTCTTAGTCCAGCCTGGACTATCAGTTCTCACTTCTGGCACGTTTCCCTATCAGACGATGACCATAGCTCCAGTGCTCTGTATCTTTCCTTATGAACCTTCTTTATCTATCACTATTTTGCAAAACCACTATCCTTGCTGTCACACAGGTTTTAGATGTTTCTGCTCCCCGTGCCTTATCGTACAGACAAATACTGCCGCATTTTGCTTAAAATATTTGGAAACTTCTTTTCCTTTCCACATAGCTATGTCTTTCCTCTCAGCCTCAATTCATCATGCAGGCTGCTTTTCTTTTATGCCTCTGACACTCACATCAGCTTTTCTCGACCTTACTTACCGCAGCTGCTGCAAAGATGAAATTAATTAATCCTTATTCTCCCTGTCACTTTCCCCTCTAAATCTTTCCATTGCAGCCAATTCAAGTTGTTCTTCTTTATCTAAAAGGCCTTTCATTCACACTGCTTCATGTTTCATTCCCTGTTGTGACTTCTGATACTCTGCTCTAGAAATGTCTTTTGTTTTGTCTGTCTCTTTACTGTTCCTTAAATAATGGGTTCTGGTATTTTCTGGGCTTTTTTGTCTCAGGTTTGGTTGGTTGGTTGGTTGTTATTTTTGTCATGGCAGTCTTGTCTTTGTGATAGTTTCCAAAGAGCTGTCTTTCCATCTGAATGCATAACGTCTCTGAACTTTCCATCTCAGCTATATGCTGCCCTTTAATCATTTGCCAAGTAATTAAGGACAGATGAAGGAGCCATTGGCACAGATGAAGAGCATAAATTTTATTAAAACTGCTCAATTTAAGATAGTTAACACATGTATAATATGTATTACACATATTTAAAGGACATAAATGAATAAATATAGTTATGACGGACAAAGAATGCACCCTAGTGTTCCACCCAATTTGCATTTCATATGTTATTAATAGTCTTTAATGGTAACTTTTCTGTGAAAGCACTGATAAGGGCTGCATACACAATAGAGCTTGGGAACTGTAAGTACACAAGTTAACTGTTATTATTGTTCTAAGTCAAGTTGTCTGGGTAGATTTTCTTTTGCTGCAAAGTTCATATGAGAGATTGATGTGTCCCAGTAAGTGTCTTGTGAATAATTCGATCACACATTTTCTTACTTCATAAAAAAAAAGCCTTAAACTGTTACCACAATACTTTTCAACTCAATGAGGAAAAAGCCAGAATAATTTATCTGCAGATGAAGTAAAATCTTGGAAAGACATTTTTATGAAAAGCGTATTTCCCTAAATACATGACCAATATAATGGTTAGTTTCAACATAAGACAACACACTAAGGAATACTTCATGGCAATAGCATCAATGTTGCAGGCTTCTTTGTTTTAGAGAACCATATAATTAAGCAGAAGTGAGGCTTTATTGCAAGCCATTTGTGGTGTAATTCTGTCTTGTATAAGACATTTATCACTATGGTTTAATGAGAAAATCTACATTAATTTTCTTGCACCCAATGAAAACTTCAGGTTTTGACACTCTCTGGTAGCACTATGTAGTATGTAGTTCAACCTGTGTTTGTGAGAACATCTACATTTTTTATTGTAGGAGAATGTTTTTTAAGAAAGTCAAAGATACTACAGAACACAAAATGTTCTGTACTCAGCTAAACCAAGGGTTTTTTAAAATCTCTTTAGGTACACACTATATTAAATAGAAAAGCTGTCTCAACCCTACTGAAAGTCACTCAGTTCACAAAAGACCTAATGTATGTATATGGTTGGACTTGATGACCTTAAAGGCCTTTTCCAACCTAGTTGATCCTATGATTCTATGTACTCCTGAATGAAATTTTAAATACTCATTTATTTTTGCACCCAGCCTCAGTTTTTCCATGGCACCTGGCATGGCTTTAGCTTCATTCACCTGAACTTGCAAAGGAAAATATTTTCTGTTAGGGTGGTAAATCAGCTTGTATTTTTTTTTCAGCAAGTCTGACAGTGTAATCCCTTGGTCTGCTTGGCATATCCTGAAAAGTCTTAACCACAAAGATCATTTTCCCAGTGTCTTTTTAAGACAATCATGAGAAAAGATCTTGAAAGTATTTACTGTGTGAGTAGGGTTTGAGTTCTTCAAGAGAGCCTAAACTTTTGCTACAGAGAATTTGGAAAAACTCACGGACTTGGAAGTCCTTGGAAGTCCTTGAAAGTCCTCTGTCACTGAAACACTGAATGATAAAAAACTCTGTAGACACTTACAAAGAAGCACTTCAGGAGTGAAAGCAGAAAAAACAAGCAACAACTTTACTTTTCACTGCATATATGGCAAAAGTACATTTTATTTTCATAGTACATTTTTTTCAGATTTAGCAGATTTTCCTTCCACTCTAATGTATAGTCTCATTTTCACTTTCCAAAAGCAAAACAATGCTAGTGCTTTTTTTTACAGTTTCAGTCTGGCCTTCACATGTGGTTGAATGTACCCTAGAAGAGGTCACAGCAAGTGATTTTTTAAGTGATTACTATTCCTAAATAAATGTGCAGTAGTAGTGGAACAAATATGTAGCATAACTCTGTTCTTAAAATTGTGTACAAAATAACTGATTGTTCTTCCATCTTACAAAAATGGGGTGTTGTAAATAAGTTCTTCATTATTTACCAAAAGCTGACAGCATACTTGCTTTCCTGTGAGCAAGACCTTCTGTTTGTAATCTTTTGCTGAGGGCAGGTACTGACCTCACTAATTTGCAGAAGGGCTGCTTGATCACTTCTTGACTGCAGGAACACCTTTTTCACTGGAAATGGACAACGGAGTGTAAATGTACATTATGGCAAAAGCAGGAAATCTTCATGCCCCAAAACATGACCAAAATAATGTAGGTTTGAGGGATTTGCACAGATGCTCACAGCCAAAGCAAGTTTGTGAGTTCTTCGCAGTCCAATAGGATAGAGTATTTGAAAGATTTCAGTAGCTGCCTTCCAAACTGTAGTAAAGGTTTGAAAGTCCAATTAAATTCAGATGTTATTTATTCACAAATTAAAAAAAAAAAGAAAAGAAAAAGAAAAAATAAATTAAAAAAATCTAGTCTGTAATTAACAGCATTTTTGTGAAGATTGAGTGTTTTATGTTGCCTGTGAGTATATTGTAAATAGTACCACACTGAATGCAGAACATGTTCTTACATTACACATGGGCTTAGCATATAGCAGATATAATGTTATACCCATTGTGACATATAAGAGAAGAGCAAAATGAAAAGGGTGCTTAGCTGCATGATAAAAACCTTGAACACATGGTAAGTGAAACGATGCGCAGTCCCACATGTTTGTAGGACTTTATGGACACCAAGGTTATCAAATGCTGGCATTTGTCTTAACTTAAAAAAAAAATGTATTTCAATAAGTATGTGTTGTGTTATTAAAAAAATGGGGATTGAAAGGCAAAAGCACAGTGCAATAACTGTGAATTAAGTCAAATGACAATATTGAGTACAGTATTAGTTAAGTCACTCATTTCAGACCCCTTCAGACCCTCTGTTTTAGTAGCTGCTATTTATTTTCTTTACATTATTTCATGTTTTGCAGCAGTCCAGTTGCTATGAGTAAGAATATCCTCAGAAGGTATAAATATCTTCTTTTCATTTTTTTAATGTTAGAAAGTTAACAAGAAAAAAAGACTTTCCTATTTGTAAAAATTATTTTCTTGGCAAACACAGTTGATTGCTAAAATGTACACAGAACAATTCTGTGTTTGGTTATTCACTCTGAAAGAAAATTGGATGCTGACTCCAGGCTTTACAGATCAATGTAATCACCACATCTCAGACAGTTACAGGGGATGATTCCTAGAATAGTCACATTTTTATAATTTTTTGGGTTTTTTAATTTGCTGGGGATCTATTTCTCCTTATTTTGAGGGCGATACAATTATTAAGAAAAAACGACTGGTGCCCTAATCTTCAGCATCTTTATCATGGCAGTATCTCAGTCTGACAAAGTGAGAAAGGCATTAGACCTTGAGGAATTTGGAAGAAAAGAAATATGAAGAAGATAAATGTACCATATCAATTCACTAACGTTTCTTTCTGCCATTTTGAGAAAATTTGTGTCTTACTTTAAAGCCTGTGTTAGAAGAGGTGGCAAAAATGCCCCCCTATAATGTATCTATTTCTGTAATTAGATGGATTATATTGCAGTAACTCTTGGTGATCCCATCTTATTCTGTTTATGATTCCTGTTTTGCTTGTCTCCAGCAAATGTGCACAGAAGAAGAAATAGTTTTAGTGAAAAGATAACCATGTTTTGTTCTTCTTTTGACTTCATGTGATTTAAGCCAGAGGAATGGGAGACCCTGTTTTCTTCCCCTTCACTCTTTCTTCTTCAGTTTATTATTTCTTTGAAAGGGTTGCTGTGACTGGCTTGTCAATAAGTGCTAATCACATTGCCCTGAGCAGCACAAGAGAGACAGACTGATGTGGATCTCATGTTTTTCCAGATGAGGATAGGCATTCACTCAGGATCAGTGCTGGCTGGTGTTGTTGGTGTAAGAATGCCACGTTACTGTCTTTTTGGGAACAACGTCACCCTTGCAAGCAAGTTTGAGTCAGGAAGTCATCCACGCCGCATCAATGTCAGTCCAACAACATACCAGTAAGTCCTCTTAACCTTTACATACACTTTTTGTTTCAGCCTGTTTTGAATTTGATCTTGTAACTTTCTCTGTCCTCAACACATGAAATTCAATAGAAAGTTGTCAGGGCACCAGGACAACGGGAAAGAGGTGTTGCATGGGGCTGTAAGTCTTTTATTTGAAGGTTTTCATCAGAGTGCTCGAAGAAGTCAGGCAGTGAAGGCAAGGAAACATATCAGGAAGGCCAACCATTCCTGCCTAAAATAACATGTAACAGAAGAAGTGGGAGATGTCTCCCAAAGCACTGTAATTTTATGCACTATTACAGCTTTAGGCTAAGGATTTGGGTTCCACTTGCTAGGCATAGTTCATGGAAGGAAGCATATTCCCATGGGCTCAGAAGAAAGTCTTTACTTTTGCCAGTGAAGCCAAGCTTTCAGAGTTTTTATGCATTCTTGCAGACAAAATTTCTTATTTAGCACTGTAAAGAGACACTTGAAAGAAGCATGTTTTTAATGTAGAAAAAAAGACTGAAAATGGCAAAACACAATCCCTAGCTCTTTGAAGAAATTATGCAAATACAGAGAAGGCTTGATTAAATCTGGTTATGAGGAACACCTCCTAAATTAAAAAAAGGTGTTCCTTATTGTTCAAATTTGACAGCTTGACTATTAGAATTTCTGCTGCTTGCATTGCTACTGATTTACTCACTTTTTTGGCAGGAGATCTCAATCTTACTGTTTTTTCCAGTGTTCTGTATCTGAAGTAATTTTCTGATGTGCGGTTTTGTTCAGGTGTTGGGACGGTTTCTCTGTGTTAATCTGTATTCAATTGCTCAGACAATACCTCTTTCCACTTTTTTTCTTTCACAGAACTGTGAATCTCAGTATTTATTTTTTCCCCATACCTTTCTATGTAAATTGAAATTTTAAATGGAATTTCTTCATCCAAGAATGGAAGCATCTGATATGCTGAAATATAAATCAGTCAGAAATTGAAGTTAAAAGTAACTAAAATTAGTGAATAGAATTACATTCTTCTGAAAAGGCCTTTCACTTGAGATCAGATTTACAGAAAGGAACAAGTATAGCTGATTAAACAAGAGGCAGTAAAACTGAATCATAAAGTGGGCAGAAAGAGGTTCATACAGTTGTCTGTTAGCACGCAAGAGAAACACAGACCCAGCCTAGTCCTGGGCAGATCGAGGGAGGTGATTCTCCTCCTTTACTCTGCTCTTGTGATCCAACCTGCAGTCCTGCATCCAGCTCTGGTGCCCCCAGCATAAGACACGGGCCTGTTGGAACAAGTCCAAAGAAGCCATGAAGATGCTCAGAGGGCTGGAGCACCTCTCCTTTGGAAACAGGCTGAGAGCTGGGCTTGTTCAGCCTGTAGAAGAGAAGGCTCTAGGGAGACCTTAGAGCAGCTTCCAGTGCCCAAAGGGGCCTACAAGAAATCCTGAGATGGACTTTTTACAAGAGCATGTAGTGACAAGACAAGGAGGAATGGCTTTAAACTGAAAGAGAATAGTTTAGATTAGATATAGAGAAGAAATTCTTTACCATGAGGGCGAAGAGACACTGGCACAGGAAGTTGTGGCTGCCCCATCCCTGGCAGTGTTTAAGGCCAGGTTGGACTGGTCTTTGAGCAACCTGGTCTAGTGTAAGGTGTCCCTGCCTGTGGCAGGGGGGCTGGAACTAGATGATCTTTTAAGGTCTCTTCCAACCCAAACCATTCTATGATTTTGCAAATGGCTAAAAGTAGTGATGAAAAAGCAAGGGACATATTTATTTTACATGCTTCAAAATTTATATGTGAAAATAAAATAAATGTGCATAGGGAGATTTAGGAAGGCTGTTTCAAACCATACCTCCTGGCATGGCTGAAAGCATAAGAACAGACAGGGAAGAAGTCGAGAAACAGCACTGCTGACATGCTGATGTAGTCAGGAGAGAATTACAAAACGCTCTATTGTGCAGTATTATTCAGGGCTTCTGAAGGTGATTTAGGGGGTTTGAACATAACGTACTATCTAAATAAACAAGTAGGGATCTCATGCATCTGTATATAACTTTTTTTAAAATATAATTTGCAGGAGTGTATAATTTGCTGTGTGATTCATTGCAAACTGTTTATAGTTGACCTTATATTCCACCAAATGCTTCTATTTGATCATACTGTGCTCCTGTGTACTCAGTTAAGATTTTTATTATCTAAGAAGCAGTGTTTTCCAAAGTAGATAATTCTGCAATCAGTATGGAAATAACAGAATTTTCAATTATCTATTGGCATTTATCATTATGTGTTTGTGTCTACCATGCCCCCTGATGAAAATTGTGATATAAAGTTTTGTGCTTACAATGCGTGCAGATACTGGGAACATGTCTAATACTTATCAGCTTTCATTTTACAGTACGGATTATGCATTATAAAGCATCATCAGCATTCAAATTATAAAAACACTTCAGAATGCCTATTACTGGTTTCAGACACTTCCCTGTGAGCCCATAATCAGCCTATGTGAGAATCAGAGTCTAAAATTATAAGATTTGGTGTTGCTTAGCAGCAGCAGTGAACCTGGGGCAGCCTTACTCTAGTTACACCTGCCTGGGCAGAGCTCTGCGGTGTGAAACAGCACCTTTTACAGAGGTGGCCTTTGAAGTTGTTGGGCCTAAGAGCTGACTTGGGTTCAAAATATCTTGTTCTCTTGACTCAGACAGGTCTTTTGATTGAAGGATTACAGAGCCCCAGTTGCTTTGAATCACTGAGCATCGTAAAATGAAAGCAATGAAATTGCATTGGTAAAACTTCCACTGAAACATGTAGAAACTGGAGAGGGAGTGGAGGATCTCAGACTGGTCCCAGTTTAAACGTGTGGCTGGGAAGGAATAGCAGAAGAATAAAACATTTTTTGTTCCTTTAGCAAACCGTCATATCCAGCTCAAGGTTTATTTAATTAATTTGAATTTAATAGAATTACACTATTTTCTGTACTCAAGAAGTAAGGACAGTGAGATTTATGAGACTCTTCTTTAGCACAGAAGAGAGATTAAATATTTTAAAGTTATTTATTTCAGCCTAAATAATGATGTTCATCAGATATTAATATAATATACCTACATTCATCCTGTTTCCCTAATAGTATTACAATGTAATGCCTTGGGATCTCTAAGCAGTTATCAAAAGCAGGTAAACATAATTGTTGCTATTTGTCAAGTAACTGTATTCAAAATGAATTCTCTCTTTCTTCTTTCCATCTCTGGTCTTTTCCAGCATGTATTTCCCTTGTGGAGAAGATGCTTCTGGCATCAAGTGTTGGATGCAGATATTTTCCATTATCATATTCTGGGCAATAAAACTGGGCCCTGAGCTTAGGCAACAATGGACAGCCTGTGTCCTACATTCTTATCTGATTTAGGAGAGAAAGCAACAAAGCATACCTCCTTATTGAGCTGGGTGAATTTACTGATGGTTCACCCGCCAAAATTGCCCCTCAGCATTTAAAATTGATTAAAACCTGCAGAATTTTGAATAAGTTTTTAAACTGTTATCTCACAGAATGTTGTTATGGAAGAAGTTTTATTAAAGGTATTAAAAGTCAGTGATAGACATTGACCGTGCTGAGCTGCATGTGATATACAACTGTATTGCATTAAAAAAATCATGGCTAGTCCTTTCATAATCTTACAATTGATCTGTATGAAGGAAAAACACCAATATATGAACTCCTATAGTTTAAAAGAATATAAAGTGCAATCTGATATTAATGAGATTGAGACACAGCCAGGGTTTTGTCAGTCTCCCGATCTTTCTAGTTCGTATAGAAACTGAGGGAAAAATTCAAAGCCACTAGATTTAGAAAGAAGTGCACTGATTTTTGGCATTACAATAGCAAATTTGCACCTTTATACAGTGTGTTTTATGAGCAGCCTACCAATTTTTCTAATGAATGCCATGTAATTATAATTTGAATTCATATGGAAAGAAATGAGCTGGTGTATGCTGTCAAACCAGATGCCCAGCTGGTGAAGTGACCAATGCTTGTTGCCACAGAGGAAGGGCTTAGCAGTCCATCAGGAGGCAGGATTCATGTAGCCCATCTGGGAAGCCATTCATTAGATTTTCCTAATTTTACCAATTAATAGGTGTATGTGAACATGGTTAGCTACAATTTTCACAGTTCTTTAAGAGTTTGGGTGGAAAGAAACTTTTTTGTTGTTGTTGATAGCTATCACAGTGAAAGGTAATATTTATGGAATATTGACCTGTCCAGTTTGCTTTTCTTGGTGCATACTATATTTAGGAAGGCAGTGCATATTCTCCTTTATTGAAGTGCATTGTATTTCTTTAAGAAATATTGTTCAAATTGTCTGTAGAAAACAATTTTCCTGAAGGAAGTTTGCATTGAAGTTCAGTTCTGAGTGGGTGCTTTTTTAGCTCAGATTCAGCAAATTGCTAAATCCTATCATAACTCAACTGTTATTTAGGGTATGTGGAACTTCATTATACAGAGGTTATAAATGTATGTACATGCCAACACAAAGCTGAATAAGTATTTGGCTGTTGTTAAAACCTTACTTGAGTATAATATTTGTGTTACATAGTTTATTGAAGCAGCAAATGCTGTAATTATCATGTCTCATATCTGATTAGATATGCACATGGTTTTGAAGTTTATTATATAATACATATTTTATATACATATATATGTATCAGTTTATGGCACTTAGGAACTGCGGTGTAAGGTACATGTTGTGGAGGGCCTGAGGAAGACAAAGGGGAGAAACCTGTGCAGACAGGTGGCGATACTTTACTTTGTTCTGGGGAAGGTGATGCTCTTGAACTGCTCCCACAGTCAGGGGATAGCAAGTGGCAGGGTTGACAAGCAAGAGGAGGAGCCAGACTGAGGACAGGCTGCATCACGACAGGGATCAATTGCTTGCTTCTTACTGTCTATTGATTCCGGAAAGATTTTGCCTGACTGCATGGCCTGAAGGTGGCTTTTAAAAGAAACCTTGTGTAAAGGGCAAGAGAAAAGACAGGCCTCTGAGCACTCCAAACTAAGCAGTGTGCTGGGCTTCTGAAGCTGGAGAAACCTGATGGCATTTGCAGTGATTTGCAGAGTTTGCTGACATGTGGCAACCTGTGCTAGCCATGTGCAGCAAGCACTAGTCACAGCAGTGGGGAGGAGGCTTCAAAGGTTTCCAGACACTGTTCAAGCAATGTATCCTGTGAAGCCCTCATGGGGTAACTCAGGGTACTGGAGCATGCTGAAGTTTGGTGAATGCTTCCTCACCTCTGGTGCTAAAGTTGACTTAGGACATGTGGTAATAATTTATTCCTTTAGCAGTGAAAATACAGTTCTCAAAATATACTGTCTTTTTCATATTTCCAATAGAGTTGCTACTCCAGGCTGCTAAGTGTCTGCTCCTCTCACTGCCTTACTCCTCCCTTTGAACAGATCCAATTTGTGATTGTATCTTGTTTGGGAAGAGATGGAGCAAGTTAGCCCACTTTCACAAAAAAAAAAAATCATAAAATATTTGCAGCCATCCTTTCTACTGAGTCTGAGAATCCTCTTTATGTATGAGTATTACTTAATCTTCACAGCATCCAGTGATAAGTGCAAAGTTCTGACATCTCTGAGAGATGGAAAGAGAAAGAGTTCTACTGCTTTCCAATGGTCATGGACAGAGCAAGAATCATGTGGAAAGCATGTATTCAGCATAGATGTCCTTGCAATAAATAATTCTTCAGTAACAACTCTTTATTAGTTTGTTTTCTGAATGTAGGAACTTAGTGTTGTAGATGTGACTGTTTCTAGCCAAAATAGTTTGAAATAAAACTACTTATCATTTCACCCATGCAAAAATGAGCTACAGCTTTTAGAAGCTTCTTTGAGGTTCTTACTAAGTATGATCCCAATTTTCCTTCACACACAGACCTCTTGACCTTGAAATGGTTCTTGTTTCCAGTAAAAAATAACCACATTCTCTGTTTCTGTACTGGCACTTTTTTTTTTTTTTAAATGAATGAACTGAAAATGAAAAAAGAAGTGGGATAATTCTCAGATACTATCTCTTTTTGTCTAAAAGCAACAGGGAAGGGAATGAACAAAAGAATTTAAACAGTTCTGGAAGATTTTGGGTCAGGAGGGGAAGGTGTTAACAACAAATCAATGTTTAAGAAATTCTTCTTCCCCTGAAACTTCAACAAAGAAGACAAGCTGAGAGCAGACCTAGTTCTGGGCAATTTACAGGAATGCTTAAGTATCCTGATCCTCACAATTTAAGCACTGAATTGTAAATTGTATATCCAGCCATTTGAGTGGAACACAGAATTTTGAAGGTATGAATAACCTACTATAAGAATATCCTTTCAATAGTGCTCTAATGGAAATACACAGAAATGATGCAGGAAATACAGCTGAGATAAATTGTTTGGAATATTTTCAGAATAGTTTTTATAAGCATATTGCTGAACTGTGGAGGTTGTGTAACTTCAGCTTAAGCTCTACATGTATGGGACAATCTGGGGACATTACTTTATGCTGTGCTTCTTTGTACCCATGAAAAGGACAACAAGAAACTTAGCAAAGGCTGTTGGTTGATCTGGGCCATGGCCATCCACTGCTACTGTTTCCTTTTTAACCTAACTATTGGCCTAAATACGGGAGGGAAAGTTCCTGCAGAAAAATGTCCTCACTGCTATGCACTGAGGATTAGCAGATAACTTCGTTCTGTAGAGTACACACAAAGCTATAAGGAATCTGAACCATGATCTCTTTCTCAGCCTAGAAAACCAAGTGTCAGGACCAATATATTTAAGGAATCTGAAGAACCTGTTCTTTAGGAGAATGCTAACAAGAGGCCATTTTTGTCTTAATTCAAATCTTTCTAATAGCAATATTACAAGATACAGCAAATGTGGGCTTTTTTTCCCCTTAAAACTATGAACTAAAGTTAGTAGAGTAGGATAGAGTATGATAATAAGTAGCTTCCTTTAGCATTTGGTAAAGAAAGTTTCCTGTCATGCTTGCTTGGGAGCTTGTTATCCCAATAAAGGTTGGCTAGACAATTTCTTATGGTGCGAAGCTGATTCAAACAATATACCTAATATAGGAATGTGGATTCTATCACAAGCTACAGTAGCAGAGAAATTTCCAGAGGACTAAGTGGTTACTCACCCATCCCTCCTGGAGAATTTCGTTGCAACCAAGTTACAATTCACACAACAAGTGAATGTAAGGCCTTTAGTTAATATCTTGCCCTTTTGTTTCATGAGGAAAATAGTGTGAAATATCAACTAAACTCAGTGCCAGCCCTGAACTGAATCAAAGTATACATCCATTTTTCACAGTTTCAGGCTTGTATAACTATCATTACAATTAGCTAATATTAGGCTCTGAGAAGGAAACCATTGATTTTTAGCAAGGCCAGATGCTCATACTGAAGAGTCAGTTTGGGGAAGAATGACTACAGCAAAAACTTACAGATTTAACTCAGAAAGTTGTAAGAGTTCAACTGTTGCTTGCAGAAAACTAGTTTGGGAAGCATCATTGAGTTATTTCAGATTGTTAAGCCTATGGTTTTAAAACTCAAAATATTTACTGCAAGTATTGCAGAGAAGTAGTGAGAGAAGCTTCTCTGTAGAGGCCTGTACAAACTCTCATGCAATTTAGAAAAGACTACAGTATTTTGATCATAAATAGGTTATGACATTCATACTGCATGCTAAACAAAGACCACCACAGAAGTTCAAAGGTGAAAATATTGTTGGATTTCTAACTAACAAATTATTTAAAAGCTGGGAAGAAAATGACTTTATATTTCAATGAGCTCACACATACTGTCTCAGCCAAAACCCACGAAAAACACTCAGTAAAGAAGTGCCATTAGATGCACTGAGAATCCTGGAAAATTTGCCTGGCAACAGGATTCATTCATTCATTTACTTCCCAGAAGTCATTGTTTGAGACATTAAATAAACAACCTATTACAAAATCCACTGAAGCTAATAAAGATCTTCCCACTGATGTTTTTGATCGTCAAATTGATTGAGAGAAAGAATAAATATCTTGGGAAGAGAAAATATGAAGAATACTTTCATATATCCAACTGTGCTCAGAATTTACATTACCTCAAAACTGCTCTTTTCAATGCTGCAAGGGATTGAATATGCCTACTCAATTTACTGGAAACAAAAAGAAAATGTATAGAGTTATGTTCTTTATTTTACAAGTCCAACAAGTTTCAGGGAAGATACTTGATAAAAAGGCCTTAAACTTTCAGATCTACTCAGACACACATTTGTCCACTAAGAAGGAAGGCAACAGATGGCAAAAGACAGTATACTCTGGTCTGTGATGTTGTACCACTTGTGTGGGCATGGTTGGTGGATGGCTTCAAGGCTCCTATGAACCTGTATCCCTTTTTGACCCCAACCAGGAGTTCCAGATGAAACCCATGGGTACTTCTGATGAATAGTGTCAGATTTGATTCTGGGTTTTGCTGAAGCTGTATTTGCTGTGTTTGAACCTAACTTAGGAAATACAATACTAGTGAGTACAAGAAGGGCACAAAGTGACCACCCTGTGAGAGCTCTGAAGGACTGTCACCTTCATACCTTCTTTCCAGCAGGAGACCTGGTGATAGTCATCACTCTGAAATGTTGATTTCTGCACATCTAGCCAGACTGGCGTGTTTTAACTGAGCCAAATGACACATTAAGGATAAAAATCATTATGAATTTGATTCCCTTTCTGATGTATGACTTTCTGAATCCTGACACTGATTTTCAGAGAATGTGTTTATTTGGTCTATATCTTTAGCTGATCTCAGTCAACAAAGCTCCTTGAAGTTGATGATGCTAAGTTAATATGTATCGGCCAAGGATCCTGAGGATTTTTTAGATGTAACATAATACTTTCAAGTATTTTATTTAGGAATGCATAGGATCAGTCTCTTCCAGAGAGATATTCCTTTATCATGGTTTACAGGTTTTATATCCTTTTGTTTGGTTGTTTTTTCCAGGCTTTTGAAAAAGGAAGACAATTTTATTTTCATCCCTCGTTCCCGTGAAGAGCTTCCAGAAAACTTTCCAAAGGAAATTCCTGGGATCTGTTACTTCCTCGAGGTCAGAAGTGGTCAGAAGCCGCCAAAACCCTCCATCTCATCTGCCAGAATGAGAAAGGTTTCTTACAACATTGGCACCATGTTCCTCCGGGAGACTAGCCTATGAGGCCTGCTGCAGATCAAAGACTTGTCAAAAAAGCACAAGCCCAGAACTGGGTCATGATAGGGGAGTTGGAGGTTCTTTCTGTTTCACTGCTGTGTTCTGAACAAGCAGTGAAAGCTCCATGTAATGTCAGGCAATAATCATTTAAAAGGTGGGTGATCGCTGTCAGTAAACACAGTGGAGATAGGAAAAAAAAGATTAAACAATGTACTTCCACTTCCAGAAGAATTTCTTTCATAAACTTCAGTCTGGCCCCTCTATGGCAAATGATAAACAAAACAAAACAAAACAAAGCAAAGAAAAATCCCAACTCTCAAATTAGAGGTTGGTTTTGTTTTGTGCAGAAAGGATGATGGTTCTCTGTAGATTTGCACCAGCTAAGCAGAATTGAGAGTCAGTTCTGATTATGCATTCCTATGTTTAATGTGTTCTTCAGTAAGGTAATGATGTTTTTTAACTTTATGAACAAACATTTCATACATATACTGTAGACCTGTTGTAACCTTCCTGTCAGGAGGAATTATAATTCAATACAAATATTGTAGTAATTTTACCTATTTTTATACACATTTCACTTTCTGGATAATTACATTCCACATACTGTAAGCTGAGTGAGCTTAGATAGCTTTTCCGAAGAAGCTACTGTATATTTCATATATTCTACCTATCAAACCTTATTGTTATACAAGTGGGAAAAGTCATTTTTTGACTTTTTTGGCAACAAAAATACCAGTATTTTACAAAAAAAGCCACTTTGTTAAGTCTCTTTACCTGGTGTTTGTGCTAAAGCTTTAGATGAGCATTGTCTTGCTTATATAAAATAATGTTCAGTATTTGTCCTACAATGCTGTATGTCCAGACCTTCCAGGACAATGCAAACAAAGTTTGTCAATGTGTTGACAAACAGAGAAGTTCTGTTCAGTGGGACTTGTTTCCCACTAAATTATCAGCCAAACTGAATTTTGGTATAAGTCCTGGCCTTTTTTAAAAAAATGATTTTGTGAAAACTTATTCTGAGAAATTCCAGCAGATACTGGAAACTCTCTGGATACTGGTTTTCCATATTTTTTTTTAATAGGACTTGTGTTCCTATTAAAAAAAAAAAATCCCACCTCTTAATTAATAATTAATTAATTGTGTTCATAATTTATTAATTAATTAATAATGCTCATCTGGAAATTTCCTCTATTGCTGGTCCCCTACTTTATCTAATGTAGGCCAATAAAACATTGAAAAGCAGAAGGCAGTACCTCCTCAGGTTTAATCCAAATGGAAGTTCAAGATTTAGATGAGTCCATATCGATTTAAAAACAAAAGAGAGGCCAGCTATTTAGAATTAATATAGCTTTATTTTCTTCAATGAATCCAATTGAAACAAGATGTGAATCTGTCCCCTAATAGGCACATTTTCAGGCATTTTTTTTTCTCAGGTTTCAAAACTAATAAATTAGTTTTTTCAAAACTAGTAACAGCCAGTTTTTCTCTGCAGATGTTCTTCCTTTAGGGTCATTCTAAAGTGGGCCAATGTAGTTCTGCTGTTGCAGATTGTTAGTTAATACTTGTGTAGCGATTCCAAAGTGGCTTAGCTTTATACGGATCTGATCAATGCCCACTGAAATCTAAGGTAAGACTTTGAACAGCACTGGGAGGCATGAGATCTGCATTTCTGTAATCCAGACCAGAAAATATTGACAGAAAATCCAGACAAAAAATACTTGAGGCATCTTTTGAAAATAAGTAAATTAATTGCACCACATGTCCAGATTATCCAGTTATATCTTTCTGTGGAGGGAATGACAGTGGTGTATTTCTCCCCTTTGAGCAGTAGCCCATTTTAGAGTGGGAACAAGTCAGAATGGCACCACTAGCCTGTGCTGAATATGTGTCAGGCTTCCTTTCCTTTTCTGGATGATAAAGGAGTATCTTGAAACTATACAGACCTCAGCATGTAGAGGGCATCTGAACTTACTATGTAGGGGTGGAGTTTTCTTCCCTGAAAAGGATAGATGTATGGGAATTAGCCCAGGAACTTACTTTAATGGAAATTCCTTCACTTTCTAGAGGAACACCGATGTTAAAGATTTCTGCCATAGGTATTAGTGCATCCTGGGGATTGGAGGAATTAATCTTTCATCTGCCTTGATAAACAACATCTGCAACTCTACTGCCTATCTAAGAAATGAGTGAACAAAAACTGTTTGAGCTTGAGGTTGAAGAATTTCCATCCAAACTACTGATCTGAGAATTTCTGTGTAGGATGACAAGTTTTAGCCTATAATCATTAGTTTGTATTTACACAGGATGTAGCATGCATTTTTTTCCTGGGAACACCAAGAATCATAAATAGAGCAAAGTTCATGTTTCACCTCTGGAAGAGGAGCAGCACTCCCTAGGTATTAAGGCTGTGGTTTTGATGTCATTACCTAGTTCCCTAGAGTAAAATGTTTTCAAATATCAATCAATAGGTAAAGATTTTTTTCTGATTTCACTGGCACATCCTCATTGTTCAGTACCTGCCAATGTCACAGTACCAGTATCCCTGGCCAAACTCTTTCTCTTCTTACCGTCTACAGCCCTGTGTGAAGATAATAAATGTCAAGGTTCAGACCAAAAGCTCGTAGCTCAATAACTTGTCTATCACACTTGCCAGTAAGAAATGTCTAGGTTAATACTGTGGCTGATCTTGGTAGATAGACAGGAACATTTTCATGAGAAATGATGCATAAATGCTAATTCTACTAGCAAATTGGAGAAGCAATCTAAAAAAATTCCTATTGCCATCTTCATCCTCTCAGACACTGTTTATTCTATAAGTAAATTTATAGTAGCAGAGATCAATGCAAAACCTGAATACTGGAGTTCGTATCACCATGGAGACAATGGCAGTGTTTGCAAATAAATCATCTAGCTCCCCAAATTAGGATAGATTTACAGTATAAGAATATATAGTCTCTCCTTTATATAAGCTTTTGTAAAGGTAATGTGTCCAGAACTTCAGCACCAATGATAAGTATCGTGTTATTTGCTCCTGTGTTACAACAAGGGAAATTAATAAAAAAAGTGTGGGCTCTCTAGGGACATCTTTCTATCTCAGTGTGAGAGAAGTGTAAAACAAATTCTCAGCACTCTTTAACTTAGTATTTGCATCTGCTGGGATGATGAGGTGGAGATGTTAGAGATGAGATGATGCAAAAATCATATACACTACCTGGAATATTCTTCTAATATTTTCCTTCCTATGAAACAGATGATTTTTGTTCCTCTGATGTAGAATTTACACTCCGTTTCTTCACATATCTGCAAGTAGCAACATCTGCTCTCTTGAGTTTCTGTACAAAACAAGTCTACACTCTCTGAAGACAGAGGAAGGAGATCTGCATATTGCCTGTACAAGGCAAAGGAAGGATAATGTGAGGACCCTAGCTGGGATCACCAGTTTCTTCGCTGCAAACTTGTTCTGTGCAGCTTCTCTCTGCGTCAGGCTCACAGGGACTAGACACCGCGAATTGACCACAGATGCAGACCCAGTGGCCAACTTCTCATACAGAAGTCATGATGATAAGTAAACAGAGGCAACAGATACTCTCCCCCTCCTCCTTCCCAAGCACTTTCTACAGATCTTGTGTCAGATTTTTCCATCTGCTTGAAGTTCCTCATTGCACAGGCTCCTCTGTGATTCAGTGCCTAGAGGTCAGGAACCCAGAGGAAGAGGGAAATAGTGATGGAAGTAGTAGATAAATTTTGTTCTGCATCACTCTGGTAATATCTGCCATTCAAAGACAAAAGCCTCTGCATGGGAGAATTGCTTCTAGCAGGACTCTCAAAGTGTGATTTTCTTGCAGGATCCCACAGGATATTTATTTCTTAATTCCAAAGAGATAATAGTCATTAACTGTGGTTGTGGTTTTGGCTTCACTACTCATTCCCACATCCAGTTTCAGAACAGAGTCTGTTTGGAAAGGCATTTTGGAGCCTGGAAACATGCCTCTGCAAATAGAAAACTAAAGCTTTTAAAACCTTGGAAATCTTGTATGGAAATTGCATATTCCAAAAAAGAAATCTTTGTAGTTGAGTCATTAGCCAGTCCTACTGCATTTCGTGTGTGTGCGCGTATGCCATTTCACGATACCATCTCCTTCTGTGCATAGTATTCCTTGTGAAGCCCAACAGCAGTATGAGGTGCATAGCTACCTTTTATCTGTTTTCCATTAACTCCCCTCTTTAATTTTTTCTGTATAAAGCAAGCAGGGCAGAACTATGACATGTTGCGTGCATTTAAAAGTATCAGCACTGCACTGAGACTCAAACTCAATTGGTGCTAATCAGTTTCATGTTTTATATTTTTTCTGCTGAATAGTTCCTTCTTCCAGATGATTTCAAAATAAAAAGAAAAAAACCCAAACACTCAGAACTGCTGTGTTGAATTGCAAATGAGTATTAAACCTGCATCATTTGTCGGTGCAGGTTTAGCTGATGAATGGCTTTCAGATTCTTCAGCTGGCACTGGCTGCATGCAAACTGTCCTGTCACGAAGTCTGTAACTAAACAGCAGCATCATGAATTTATGTCATTTTCTGGGTTTTTCTGTTCCAGTTTCCGGCCACTACCTGGCCTCTGCTGAGTGCTCAGAGCTCACTGAGGAGAGCTAATTCCCTGTCCTAATGGAGTCTTGGAGCTTCTGGCTTTGGTTTTAGGTTCTGGTTATCTTTTGCAAAATTATATATGTGTAGTATTGGAAATAGCAACATGCTAACAATAAAACAAGAAGCATAAAATATCTTGTCAGTCTCAGAAACAGCTGGTTCCCTTCCTTCAGTGAATAATACATTATCCATAGTGCTTTACTGGGATTGAGGGTGCCAGTGACAGTAGAGGCTGTGGAAGGACTGAGAATGCTGAGTGTGCAGGAGACTCGTCAGTCAGGAGTTAATTGTCCCCTACTACTGTTCATAATTCCATCACGTTGCATTCTATTTTCTGCTCTAGGTCAAGCTTCTGCTCTTCAAAAGACCTCCACTTTCCTACCCTTAGCATCCTGTATTGACAGACGGTATTTCCTGTTACTGTTCTTACTAACATTTATGTTTGACATGGCTTCTTATATCTAAAGAATAATGGGGATTAAGGGCATAATCTTTCTCTTTGCAACACAGACAAAACTGCTTCAGTGACATGGCAGGCACACACATCCTTAGAGAGGAAGACCACCACAATGCAAGTTGTCACTGTTGGGTTTGGGTGGAGAATTCAGTAAACTAACAGTCTGTGGCATGTTTTTAACTTTACCAAGCACCAGATTTGTCTGTGAAGCTAGGAATTACTCCTTAACAATGTTACTAATTTGCAATGCATGAGCAGCCTTATAACAAAAATCTGTAAACTGTTTAACCTCATATACAGGATTGATCTTTTGTGGCTTTGCTGTTAATCATGAATGAAAGCAAGTAAAACAGTGAAAATAGGGAATATAACATTTTAGTCACAAGCAACGGATCTCTCACCTCTGCAGATGCTTACTTGTTCCTGTGGCTTGGAAGGGCTCACCTACAGTTATCTGTGGTCGAGGTTAGTATTGCTGTGTCACTATAGCAACAAAATGGCCTCTGAAAAACAGCATGAGGCATCTCAGTCTGCTTCCCTGTGGGATGGGGTTCACATTAGAGAGGCCAAAGCAGTTAGTGATGTGAACTGGCAACTTTGCCGGCAGCCTTAACAAAAGGA